GATTTCTTCAAATGGATTGATCGCGTCTGTGCACCGAAGCACAACTAAGAGCGCCTCTGTGAAACTGCTTTTGACCAGCGCTGACATCTGTCGCTGGTCCATCGATCTATCCGGGTTTTACACCATTCCCCAAACACAAGCCTACGTGGCTTCCGCCTTGGTGCCCGTGACCCTGGGCGACGCACCGGCCTGGGCCGGGCAGACGAGCTGGCCCCTGCTGCGGGGCACGAACGTGCTTCGCAATTTGGCCTTCGCCGCCGCTCTCGGCGCAGCTGCACGACACGCTCCAGGTCTCGGTGGACCTGAGCGACTACGTGCCCTTCGCCGGGCTGCAGGCCCCGATCCTCAACGAGATCAGCATCGCCCTCACGGACTTCTGGACGCAAGCGGAGACCACCGCGGAAATCCAGAGCCAGATCTCGGCAGCCGGGCTGCTGACCCAGGCCCAAGGCGACGCCCGCTATTTTGTGGTGAACGCCAACAACAGCTTCGAGTNNGCGCACCAACGTGACGCCCCCCATGATCAAGGCCCTCCTTGCCCCGAGCACTTTGGGGGCAACCACCATCCTTGGGGACACGACCGTCGAGCTCACCTGCGATGCTTATACCAAAGCCGAAGCGGATTCGCGCTTCCAAGGCGTGGGCGACACGGCCCTGGACGCCCGCTACTTCCCCATCAATTCCTTCACGGAGGGCGGGGCCGATCTACAACCTCATCCAGGGCCCCCGAGGCCTCCACCTGCTGGGCCACGAAGCCCACCTGGTCTGCAGGGCCATCAATTCTGTCGTAATACTGCGCCTCCGGCCTCCTGGCCTCCTCGGCACGGGGCGCAAGTTCGTCTTAAGACTTTCGTCCGACAGATTTTGGAAGCCGTAGAAGCAGATCACCTCGCCATCAGAACCGCCTGCTGTATTGGCTTCTATGAGCAGGTTGATGGTCTGGTCCAGTGCCTTCAGCTGGCATCCGCCGATGGACAGGACCTTGAGCTCGGCGAAGCCCGCCTGGTTGTTGGCATCGAGCAGCACCGTGGTTTCGCCGGTGACCGTACACGGTGCCGCCCGGTGGTCCCACCGCAATTTGCTCCAGCAACGGGCTGAGGACCTGGACTCCGCTGGTGCCGCCTGACAAACTCAGGAAGGGCAGGCTGGCCTCCCATCCGGTGGCGCCGTTCACACGAAAAGTGTCCTGGGTGCCTCCCCTCAGGGTCAAGAAGAAGCCGGCGGGGTCCGACTCCAACAGCGGGGCCCGGAGGCGCAGGTCGCTCTCCATTTGCTGGTCCGCCAGGATGCTGCCGTTCGAGGTTATGTTGCCCGAGGCCGCCACGGAGCCGGCGAGGAGCTGGGCGAAATCCGCTGGTGGCGTTGAGCGTCTTTGCTGCGTTGACGGTGACGTCCTGGTCTAATGTTATCCCGGTAGCAGCGAAGGAAGCCAATGGCGTGCTGTCGATGGCGCGCAGCACGATGGGGGTGCCCCGGAGCTCGGGCGTCTCCACGAAGCTGGAAGCCGTGAGGCTGGTGTAGAAGATATCGGCCGGCAGCGGGCTCGCCTCGAGGGCGGCCACTCGACCGTCCAGGGCCGTGACCTGCGTGCCCAGCCCGTTGAAGGTGGACGTACCTGGAGTCGGACTCGCTTTTCGACCAGCAGTCCACTTCGAGCTCCAGGGCGGGAGCCTGGGCAAGAGCCTCTGCAAGCTCAAGAAGTTCGAGGACCGCGAGCTCATGACGCTCGATTATCAAAGGATGACGGCGGTGCTCTGGCAGGTCTGCAAGGGCCTACAGCAGAGGATCGAGAAGCTTGAGAAGAAGAAGGGTCGCGAGGACGACTCGGATTAGGCTCAGGCTTGCCCCGTAAGCCTTCTTGTTGGGCTCGAAAAGGTTATTCTTCAAGTGCTCCAATTAACTGGAGGACTGGAGGAATGCGATTTTGGGGGCGTTTTGAGTCCGAAAAGGCTATTCCTCCAGTCTCCGTATCAGCACGGACTCTGGAGGAATGCGATTTTGAGGGCGTTTTTGGCCCAACAAACGGGCCTGTAAGGGTGTTGAGTGCACCTCTGAAACTATCGATCCGATAGATCAATAGTTTTTTAAGAAATGGCGGAGGACGGCGCGATGGAGCTCGGCCCGGGACTTCAACGTGAGGGATCCTCGGAAGCTTTTTCAAATCGCTCGGAAGGAGTTCCCGGGCCGGGCGGACCTGACGTCGGCACGTGCCCGGGCGGCGCTGCGCAGCGACGTGGCGAGGCAGATCCTGGCCCCTCCGAACGACCGCCTGCAAGCGGACCTCATTGACATGAGCCAGAACACCCGGGGAGCCAACAAGTTCGGGCTGCTGGTGACCGACGTGTTTACCCGCGAGGTGGCCACCAAAGCCCTGCCCGACAAGCGGGCCGAGACGGTGACACGAGCAGCAGCGGAGATCATCCCCGAGCTGGTGGAGGACGGATCGAATTATGCCATCACCACGGATCTGGGGAACGAGTTTCGGGGCCTCGAGGCGGCACTGCCGGGGGGCGTGGTGCACCGGCAGAAGGACCCCTCTGACCGTAATGCAACGGCTGTGGTGGACCGGGCGATTCAAACATTAAAGAAGGACCTGGCGGGCAAGGTGGCCCGGGACGGCGGCGGCTG